GACAGTGTAGCCATTTCCCTTCGCTTGCCGACGTCCATCCGACCGTGTCCTCACCTAGATCCTGCAAAACATGAAAAACAACGGGATAAGCACAAATAATGCTCAGTAAGTAAATCCTCTACGCATCTATCCCCGTAACTATCTCTCTCTAATTCTTTCCTTACAATTCTCATTTACTCTCTCTCTTACACTTCTCTCTATTTTCTCTTTCTCATAACTTTTTCTACTAACTCTCTTTAGTAGTCACGCCCTCATCTTACCGGAGGCATGGTCGGGACTCGCTCCCACTCTACGTGATTTCTACTCATTCTAGCCGAGCGGACTTGGTTATGCATGGATTCGGAACCCTTGGCCATGTGAGTGAATAATCTCTCTCTTGGGTACTCTCGGGTATAGCCCTCATTCGCATGCACTCTCACGGGCTACACCACTTCTCTCTCTCATACTCATGCCGCTTTCTCAATGCGGCGTACATGCGGGAATACTCTACCCATTACTCACAGGTTCCCCATCGTACAACCTACTCTATTCTCTTTTTCTCTCTTTTCTCTTAGCTCTTAAAGTAGCTTATACTCAAATTCTCTACTATGTCTCAAGCTACTTCTTAAGTGCATAAAAATGAGTATGAATAACTCATGCTCACTGTTGCACTTATGAAATGCCAAATACAAGATTGCATCAAAACAGTCATTCTGCAAAGGTCACACTAAAAAGGACATAACTTGCGTTATATACATCGGATTGCAACGGTTTTGGTCTCGTTTTAAAGCTTAGAGACAGGGCTATAACTTCTATGTTTTGGTCTCAGCCCAGTTCAATCTGTAAAATACCCAAAAATCACTTAGAAAGTCACGGCTGTGACAGGGCAGTTTCTCACTTGGACATTTCCTCAAATAACTCATGTGCATACCAAATCTCTACTTATCTATAACTCTACTCTTCTCTTTAATCAACCAAAATGAGAGGAAAACTCCCTCATACACTCTAATTTCCTGTCAAGGCAAAACACTCCCATAGGGTTTGCTCATAACTCCCTCTAACTTCAGTCAAACTCAACTCATCATCATACAATCACAACACTTCTCATAACTCAATTAAATTCATATTAACATAGATACATACTCATAACATCTCAATTTCTCAGCATAATGCATACATATACAAGTATACATCTCTACTCAATCTCTAAATCTCTACTCAAAAGCTTATTCAAATCTCAACTTGGTTGGATTTACTTACCTTGTGAAAAAGTGGCTTCTCTAGCACTTTTCCTTTCCTTTGTTGTCTTGTCTTCTCTCTACAACTCAAAACAACAACAATGACAATAACAACCAAATAAAACTTCAATATAACTATAAGCAAACTCACATCTAAAGCAAGAATCCTTACCTTAGGATGCTTTAGATGAAATCTCTATCAAAAATTCCCCAAAAGCTCTCTAAACTCCTTAGAAATCTTGGAAGATTGGATGGAGAAATTGAGAGAAATTAGGCAATGGAAGAGGCGGTGGAAATGGATGGACTAAAGGGTTTCTCTACACTTAACCCTTTTTAGCTCATATTATAAGCATTATTTCCCATTTTGCCCTTGCCCTTTCTTAGAAATTTCATCTATATCATTTGATTCTTTATAAATACACCTCCATCCAAACACAATCTCTATTAAATTTCCTTACATTTTACTCTCCACTTTTCCTACTAATTAGGGGTAAAAAGGTCATTGTGCCCCAAAAGAAGAATTCTGTAAAAAACTCAAGAAACTTTTTGTTAAGCTCTTCCCCGCGGCGAAGCACAATCTGTCGCCCCGGTGAAATACGGCAGAGTCTACCCGTGAGTGCAGCTCCTCATCGCAGCGGCGAAGCTTCTTCTTCGCCCCGGCGAAGATTGGATTTCCAAACTTCACCAAATTTCAACCAAAACCAAGGCAAACACTTAACCAATACAACATACCACTTTAAGTCAAAGACTAACTAACCAACCATGACAACAAACAAACTCAATTGAAGCTGAAACGGTGAATCCTTTAAGTAATACAGACAATCTTAAGTACGTACCTCAAGTGGGATATTACACTGTGAGTAGCTCATCGTGACCGTGAGGCTTTGATATGACAGTTTCTGGCCATATTGATGGCCAAAAACAGCCATATTAGGCCAGATCTGACTATTAATGGCTAGGTCCATGGCCGTTAACGATCAGGTCTCGTCCAGGTCTGGCCGCTAATGGCTAGATCCATCGAGCTGGTTGAAAATGGTCAAAATAGATCTGGCCAGATTTGGCATGATATGGTCGTTTTCGGCCATCAATATGCCCAGAAACGATCATATCGAAGCCTCCTAGAGCCTCCCAGCGACTCTCGGTCATTTTTAGGGACTCCAGCAGCTTTTCGGCAGCGGTCCATGGTGGTTGGCCGATTGTCAGTAGTGGTGGCTGGGTGACAGTGGTGGTCTGTAATTTGTTTTAAATATAATGGCATTATTGTACAAAAACTTAATTAAACAAGGGTAAAATTGAAATGATATATTAGTGTAAATTGATTTTAAAACAGGGGCATTATTGTCCAAAATTTTTATTAATAAGGGATAACATATTAACAAAAATAGGCAATTTTACATTACCTAAGAAAATAGAGATGATCAGATTACCTCTAATATTATCAACAGTAACAACTATTGGTAATGCAAGATTACAGAAATATTATATTATTAGACAACCAAACATAATAATCAAGTAATATAAGATGACATAACTTCAGTAATCTTAGATTACTTTCAACCAAATGGCCACTTATGTTTATCCCTCCTATATTTTGAGAATGAGAGTGTATGTCAAACTTCAAAGTAATCTCAACTTAATCTAATTTTTTGTAATTTATGTCTCTATTATTCGGATAAATAAAATCAACCCAATGATTATGTCTGCCATAGGATTAATTGTAGTCTTATTAAAAGTATTAATAAATATTATCTTTTCATTGTATACATATTCTCAGTTGAAGTAAATCTCAATTATTAATCTTTAACAGTAGGATTAAACTAATAAACTCATCCAAACTTCAATGTTAAATTGAGTTAGTCAAAATCTCAAATAATGTGGAGTTGCTCCACCAACTTAAATACTTGTGGTGGGAGGATTGATAAGTACTGGTTGAAACTGATCAACTGAACTGTAGAAAAATGAAGTAAAGATGATCCCACATTCAAGTAGATAATCAATTAAGGAGAGAGCAATAACTTTGGGTAGGTTGAAACATTGATTAATTATATATAACATATGTTATTGCGGGTATGCTATATTTTAATCCATTTAGATTTGAATTAGTTGCTTCGATACATTTTTAATTAAGCTAAAATTAAGGTGATTGAATAACCTGGTCAAAACTATATTATATAACTTGAAATAACTTGGTTAGTGTTGATACATAAATTTGCACAAACCAGAGAATTCTGATTGACCTTGTTAGAACCGGAATAGATGTGTGCGTGATTACGAATAACCAGCAGTGGATAAATAATAAATGCAATAAAGTAAATGACAGAGAGATTTTTAAAGTGGTTCGACAAGTTAGAACTTGAACCTATGTTTATTGTTATCTTATTATTTTTTAGATCTTATAAAGAATAAAATAATTCCTAAGAAAATTTGTTTAGAATAATTGCCCAACCCCCTTGAAAACAAGTTATGATGGGTTTATATAGTACCCAGTTATATGATAGAATTGAGATGAGATTAAAATACGTAGAATTAAAAAGTTGTATGATCTTCAGCTACCTTAATTGGAATTTAAATCAATTTGAATATCTCCCTTCTAAATTGAATCAATCTAAATATCTTCTTTTCTAGTAGGGAATTATCTTTTCTGGATTGAACACACAACAGTCAATATTCAAGAAAAGGGGTAGAAAACATGATTAAAATCATCTTTAAATTTTTAAAAAGCTCATGTCGAAAAAGAAAAACTTACCTAGAACTGGAAAAGGGCTCCACACAAAAGGATGAATGATAATGAATCCGAGGACGTGTAGATATTTCAAATCAAGACTATTTAGTAATTGATAAAGCGAAGTAGTTAAGACTTTAATCTTATTTTATACACGGAATGAATAAATAATACTAGATTTTATATTAAAATAATGAAGTGAAAGGAAGTGCTTGGGAAAGTGGATTAAAGGGACAAAAATCAACAATAATGTCAAGTCTTTACGGTGTCTGGGAATATAATGTGGTCAACTGCGACTGCTTCACCTTCACATATCCCAATGTGAAATCGTGAACCTCATTTGTTTTTACCAACAAACTTATATAATATTGAGAGCCCGCATTATTAGTACACAGGTATTGACCATGATTTACCTATAAATAGATAGGGGGTAAAATCATATATAATTTGTTTGAATATTATTTTCAGCCGTTCTGATATTAATTAGGTCATTTTTGTTATATATCGTTTCTGCAATTCTGCCTATGTCTCCTTTCATCTTTCTTATATGAAATCCGTTTATTCAAACATATATTGTATAAAAGGAAATATATATATGCTCTAAGGTACATGATGAAACAACTCAATTAATGTATATATTATTCTTACTTTATATATAATTAATTTATTTAACATATTGTTACCAAAATAATATTATTATCTTTAAATGTATATATCCATGAATTAAAAAACTTACACATAACCATGTGGTGGTATGAACAATTACACTTAATAGTGGAGATTGTCTTGTGCTTGCATGTAAAACATAGAAAAAGGGAGGAACCTACACAACTCTTACGTGGCTCTATGTCGTCTTTCTCTCCTACTAGACCCACTCTCAATTAAAAATAATTCGGCCATCAATGGCGGCCGCTTTCAAAAATTGAAGCTTATAGGCGAATTTTCAACCATGGAAAATAAAAAAAAATCACTTGTTATGAAATTTCCTTTAACAAGAAGGAAGAAAGGTTCTCTCTCTTTTGCCTATATATATATACATTAAAACATCGATAGTTGTCTCATCAATATTTTCTCTTTCCTTGTTGTTTACATCAATAGCAGCCTAAGAAGACAAGAATTGCTAAATCAAGCTAATTGCATATCACCAAGGGTTGCTCAACTACTCTTTTATTGATTATTACGTTCACTCACTTAAGCTATATAGAAATATTACTTATTGCTTCAGTTCTAGTTCTGGCAAAACCAGGCGAAAATGAAGTTTGGAAAAGAGTTCTCGTCGCAGATGGTGCCGGAATGGCAAGAGGCATACATGGATTACGATTACCTCAAAGTCCTTTTGAAAGAAGTCCAACGTTTTAAACAAAGTACTAGGCCACCAGCCACCCCAGGTGGGCTAAAACGAAAGTTATCTCTATACAGAGCTTTCAGTGGCCTAACGCAGTTGCAAAGACATGGTCCTGTGAGCCCATCCTCTGCATCGGATATTGAAAGCCAGCCCATTTTGGTGAATTCGGTGAGCAAGAATGGGGATCGTAGTTATGAAACCACGTTTCTTATGTCTGCGGATGAAGGAGGAGAATATGAGTTGGTGTATTTTAGAAGGCTTGACGATGAGTTTAATAAGGTGGACAAGTTTTATAAGTCGAAGGTGCAAGAGGTGCTGAAGGAGGCCGAAATTTTGAATAAGCAAATGGATGCTTTGATTGCTTTCAGAATAAAAGTGGAGAATCCGCCAGCTTCTTATTTCGACCGGACGGTGGAGATGACTCGCTTGGCTTCGGATATTGCAGCTTCTACCGCTGAACTGTCCATTTCTACTCCAGCTGGAGCTAGAGCAAGCGGTAAGTTTAATAATTTTCTAATAGTAAACAAGTTTTATGTTTGGATTATATTATTAATTCTTGTGTTTACAGGAAGACAAGCCCACATGGATGTGATTGAAGAGACCGGGGAGAGCAGCCATGGGCAGTCAGATGAATCAAATGATGATAAAGATGAGATTAAAGAGAAGAATACTATGAAGAAGAGGGTTCATGAAGAGACGAAGAAACCTGTTGAGGTGAAGGCACCTAGACCTAGACCGGCTCCATTGGACATACTCCAGAAGGTGCAAATAAACAACCCAAAAGAAACTCCTCGTTCCACCATCAAGACTGTCCTCGGGGTTCCTCACCAGACAGAAATTAAATTCAACAGAGAAAATCTAAGAAAAGTTGAAGACCAACTTAAGCGGGCTTTTGTTGAATTTCACCAAAAGCTGCGTCTTCTAAAGAGTTACTGGTAAACTAATGACTGTCGCTTCATCGCGTCTTCAGTTTTAGTTTTTATATAAATATTTAATAATGGTATCTGATCCTTCTATTTATGTATGAAACAGCTTCTTAAATACCCTGGCGTTTTCTAAGATCATGAAGAAATACGATAAGGTATATCCCCTCTCTCAAAAACCCATTTATGCTTCCAAATTCAGTGATGATGGACTTAAATTAATCAAACTACTTCCTCAATTTTTGCAGATCACTTTAAGACATGCATCAAAATCTTACATGAAGATGGTGGATAATTCCTACCTTGGCAGCTCTGAGGAGGTGAGCGTTTAGTAACAAATTAAAAATTAAGTTTCTTTTACAGAGAAGCATGTATTTGCTCAATTAATTATCAGGAGCCACTCCTTTAATTCCTTATATATATGGAAGTAAAATCTGAGATGTGCTATTACAGGTTTCTAAGCTTATAGAGAGAGTGGAAGCTACATTCATCAAGCATTTCTCAAATTCAAACCGAAGTAAAGGCATGAACATCTTAAGACCAAAAGCCAAGAGAGAAAGACACAGAACAACATTCTCTACGGGTAAAATTCTTATTTCAACTCCATTAAACCCACTCAACTACATAAACATTAAATGCCTATGGAGTTCTGTCACCCTTCATTCACACTCTTGAGGGTAATTTTTCAGGTTTTTTCGCTGGTTGCACAGCTGCTCTCATAATAGCCGTTATATTTATCATACGTACCCACGATATTCTGCACAAGGAAGGACAGAAACAGTACATGGAGACCATGTTTCCTCTTTACAGGTAATAACCAAGATAATTTGGTCTTTGAGAGTTGTCTTCGTCATTAATTAAGCAGATATTCAAGTAAATAATCTACATGTTTGACAAGTTATCAAACAAATTGTTTTGCAGCTTGTTTGCGTATATTGTCCTGCACATGGTTATGTATGCTGCCAATATATATTACTGGAGGCGGTACCGAATCAACTATTCCTTCATATTTGGTTTCAAGGAAGGAACAGAGTTGGGTTATCGACAAGTTCTACTTGTGGGTTTTGGTATATCGGTACTCGCGCTACTCACTGTGATCGGCAATCTTGATATGGAGATAGACCCCCAAACAAAAGATTACAATGGATTGACAGAATCTCTGCCTTTGATCTTGGTTTTGGTAAACATAATTGAACTCTTTCTTTACTCTTCTGCTCATTCAACTTCCATAAATTTTTATACACTCAACTATCTATGATTGTTTATTTATTTATTTTGTGTGTGTGCAGGTTCTGCTGGTTGCATTGTTGTTTCCATTCAACCTCTTATATCGCTCAAGTCGCTTCTTCTTCTTAGTATGTTTGTTCCACTGTATTGCTGCTCCTCTCTACAAGGTAAAGTAATAGTTGTAAGACTTAGTAATGAAGATCAAAAAATTTAACTACAAGGGACAGGATTACTTATTTTATAATTCTTTCCCCTGCAGGTCACACTCCCAGATTTCTTCTTGGCAGATCAGTTTACTAGCCAGGTTTGTGAAATGAATTATGCAATATGTAAGTGTCAACCATACAAAAGTCAAATTAATAATTAAACGTTTCTGTCATTGAATTGTTTCAGGTGCAAGCCCTAAGAAGTTTGGAGTTCTACATTTGCTATTATGGATGGGGAGACGTTAAACACCGCACGAACTACTGCAAACAAAGCACTGTATTCAACACTTTTAACTTCATCGTCGCTGTGATTCCATACATGTCTCGCCTTCTCCAGGTACACAACTTAATCTTTGCTTTCAGTTTATTTTGTTCTATTAAACTTGATCAGCCAATTAAGAAGGTAGCCGTTTCATTTTCAGTGTCTTCGACGCCTTTTCGAGGAGAAAGATCCAATGCAAGGATACAATGGCATCAAATATTTCCTTACAATTGTAGCGGTTTGCATGAGGACTGCTTGGAGTCTTAACATGGGAAAGGGTTGGGAAGTATTGGCCTGGACTTTCTCAGTCCTTGCAGCAATCTTTGGTACATATTGGGACCTTGTTTTCGACTGGGGGCTTCTTAACCGCCATTCAAAGAACCGTTGGTTGAGAGACAAGCTCCTTATATCTAAAAAGAGTGTATATTTCATTGCCATGGTAAGTAGTAAGAACACAAGAAATACAGTTTTGAAATCAATTCTGATAGTCTATTCCTAACCCACTTATATATGTTCATCAAATTGCAGATATTGAACGTTCTTCTGAGATTCGCATGGATGCAGACTGTGATTAAGTTTGACTTCACCTTCATGCATAGAAACACCTTGATTGCAACTGTTGCCTGCCTTGAAATCATTCGTAGAGGCATATGGAATTTCTTCAGGTGAATTAAGGAGCCCTGAAGCAGAGAGTTCATTAATTCTATGTTTCATTTCTTTTATTTATTTGATTAAACTCTTCTGTAATTGATCAGGTTGGAGAATGAGCATTTGAACAATGTTGGAAAGTACCGTGCATTCAAGTCAGTACCACTACCTTTCCACTATGACGAAGATAAAGACCTGTAAAATATATGAGTTACCAAAGGCTTCAGCAGAAATTCTTGACGATAAAATTACGTGGAAGAGAAGTTTCTTGTTATTTTTAGTATCATTTTTGTTTTGTACTTGTATATGTCAGTTGATTTTGTCAAATTCTCAAGAGGTAAATGCTATGTACATGTGATGAAAGTGTAACATTTTGATCAATGGAAATAATTTTTTTTTGGATTTATTAAATATTGGCTCCAGAATGTCAAAAAACACGTCCCAGAGACACAAACTTTCGATCAGCTTAAAATTCCTTTGGCTGCCTCCTGTCTGGGCTCTAAAACATTAAAAAAAAGTGGTAAAAAACGAACCATCATACCATTTTAAGCAGACAAAAAGGCACAGTGTTGAAGACCAGAAATTAAAGGAGTTATTGGCACCGGAGCCGTCCCTGGTCTTCTAATTTGACAGAGGAACAAGACATATTGACTGGTTCTTCATGTCCTAAAAGGGGAAAGCTCGCAGAATCCACATGTCAAACAATTCACAAGTCAATTAATTATAATTAAGGCGTATAATCTTTACCATCTTGTTACTCAAAATCTTGTAAAATGACCCTAAGAAACATTTTTTCCCTTCTGCTTGCAATGGATTTCAAACAAGTTAAAGGTAGAACTCAACTTAAGCTTCTTTTACCACTATCTGTGGCTGTGCCAACTGCCAAGCAGCACCCCTGAAAGAGCAAAAACTTAGTAAAGGGGATAGAGTTTTTGTTGTTATGACAAATGTCCAGGTTTAGATTTTGGTGTGCCATTATATCTGATAAAATGTGCACCTTCTCTTTTTTCAAGAATGACAATCATATTGCCGCTGGTTATACTGATACAAGCATTGCTATATTAGATTAATGACATAAGCATTGAAACACCAAGATCCAAAATCAAACAGTTGAGTCATTTATAACTAAATAACAATAGATTCTCAACTCAAAAATCATTATTCATTTATTATTGAAGTGACCAGTTAAAAACACAGAAACTTGTACTTCTCATCTTTTAACTATCTTTAGTAAAACCAAAAACCAAGAAATTTAATTTCTGCAGATTCCCATGAAAAAATAAATAAATAAATAAAAATCATGTTTAGAAACAACAATAGTTCCTTTAAAAAAGAAAAAGAACGTTATTCATAAAACCATCTCAATTTGCTTCAAATCATCTGAATCCGTAACCTTTTACTTGGTCTGTGCCTTCCTCAAAGTACTAGTTACTGCAACAACTTGTCCAGAACATCTTCCTACTTTTCAGAATCTTCAATAGAATTTTCCAACTATATCTAAAACTTTCTTTGCACTCACTACCCTTTATAAACAAGCGAAACCCACACCCCCCCACCTTCGCCTTCAATTTCTTTTCCATTATTGATTACGTTTCTTTTCCCCTAGGGGGCTGTGGTTTTTATTAGAGGAAGACATTTTAGGATTTTCCATTATTGACCACATTCTTTACTCTTGGGGGGTTTTGGTTTTGTTAGAGGATGACATTTTAGGATTTCATGAATCGACTCAGTGAGTTGGGATTATGGGGGTGTTTGTCTAAGCTTATAAGCCAGTCAAATTAGCTTATAAGCTCTAAAATTAAGCTGATTTGTTTGTTTATAACTTTTTTGAGCCTATAAGTTGAGCTTATAAGCAAAAAAAAAAAAAAAAAAAAAAAAAAAAAAAAAAAAGTTGGGGGGGAGGTACTTTTTTTTTTTGGCTTATAAGCATTCTGCTTATAAGCTAGTTTGACCAAGTATATTACCACATTATCCTTATTTAATTTTAAAATTCCTTAGTATACCATTGTTTAATGTAGTACCATTTTTTGTTATTTTATAATAAAATATACTTATAAGCCACATTTTACCAAACACGTCAATTACTTATCAGTCACTTATAAGTATTTTAACCAAACACGTAATTGCTTAAAATTTCAAATGCTTATAAGCTAAAATTAGTTTATAAGCATTTGTTACTTATAAGCTAATTTTCATAAGCTCAAACAAACACCCCCTATGAAATCGGTGAGCCAGAAGGGAAGGGGAGTTTTTGAGAGCGGTTTGTTGTTCTAGTCATTAAAGAGAGAGAGAGAGCCTCCCCTGAGTCCCTGACTGGTCCTTGAGCTTCTGGTCTACTTGAACTCTTAGACAAGGCAACAAGGAAATTGACCAAATTAATCAAGAAACTCCAAGATGAGAAAAACATTTCTTTGACATATTTATACATAATAATCTTTACCTTAACCACCCAAACATATTAATCCATCTTTGTTATCCTCTTTATATTAAAGATTATTATTGAAATGTCAATTATATTTTTCTTCACCTTACAAATCGCTTTGCTGCGACTAAGAAACGTGTCACAATAAGGAATATGTCCATTGGAAGGATAACACAAAGTATATACCATAGTCATTTTGAGTATGGTTAGTCTGAAGGAGAAGGCAAGAGAAGCAGAGATAAGCTGCCAGATAATGCCAAAAAGAAAGAAAAGAGATGCTGAAATATGTTTTGTATATTGTATTGAGATGTTTACATCACTTGTACATTGCTGAACTTATACAAAAAGTGTAACAATAGAAATGGTAATACATTCATGTAATTAAGGAAATCACGGATGATTGATATGAAATCAGGGATGATTGATTGCATAATTTAAGCCATGATTGATGAAATGGATTGTATGAGATTAAGCCATAATCCTAGCATTCCATATTTTATCACTCCTCCTCAAGCTTGTGGTTTGTATATGTTATAGACCCCAAGCTTGTGAAGTAGATATAAATGTTGTCTACTGTATAATGGTTTTGTAAGATATCTGCTGGTTGCTCCGAAGTGTGAATGTCCATGGTCGCAATTATCTCTTCTTGAATTTTTCCTCTAATGAAGTGACAGTCAATCTCTATGTGTTTATTTTTCTCATGGAACACCGGATTCGCTGCAATGTCATTGGCAACTTTGCCATCACAGTATAAGTGAACAGACTTACTTACTTGCACCTCCAAATCTTTTAATAGCCCAAGGATCAAGTAATTTTGGCCATAGCTCTATACTCAACCTCTGTGGACGACAGTGATATTGTCAATTGTTTCTTTGTCTTCCATGATATGAGGGCTCCTCCAAGTTTTATATAGAAACCAGTACTGGTGATTGCCTTGTCATTGGACATATGACCCAATCTGAATCACAGTATGTCGTGATGTCCAGATGCTCATCCCGAGGTAAAAGGAGTCCTAGGCCAAGACAACCCTTCAAGTATTTAAGTACCTTAATTGCTGCATCCATGTGAGACTGCTTTGGCCCGTGCATGAACTGGTTGAGAATGTGCGCTGCATAGCTAATATCTGGTCGTGTCATTGTAAGATAGATCAAAGGTCCCACAAGTCTTTGGTAGTATGAAGAACTTTCAAGAAGTGGATCTTCTTCTGGTAACAATATCCTTTTATCATACTCTGGAGAATTAAGTTTGGTGTTCTGTTCCATAGGAATGACACTTGGCTTGCATCTCGACAATCCAGAATCTAATATGAGTTCTAGAACATATTTTCGTTGATTAAAAGATATTCTTGTCGGAGACCTTACAATTTCAATTCCCAAAAAATATTTTGGCTCTCTTAAGTCGTTGATATGAAAATGTTTGTTGAAATGCTCTTTTAAAGTTCCAATGGCCCCTTCATCATTTCTTGTAATTAGGATCTCACCGACATAAATGACGAGAGCAATGAAGGATTTACCTTGATGCCAGCAGAAAAGGGCATAATCATGCTTTGACTGAACAAAACCTATGCTTGTGAGTGCCTTTATGAATTTCGCATTCCATTGGCGAGATGCTTGTTTCAGGCCATATAAATATTTTCGCAGACGACATACCATATTCTCCCTATGTCTATGAATCCCCGGAGGTAAATCCATGTAAATCTCCTCATGAAGATCTTCATGTAAAAAGGCATTATGAACATCCATCTGGTGTAAAGACTAGTCTTGAGTGGAAGCAACAAAAAGTAGAGCTCGAATAATGACATGCTTGGCAACAAGAGAAAATGTCTCCTAATAATCAAATCCTTCATGTTGTGTGAAGCCCTTAACAACTAGACGGGCTTTGTAGCATTCAATGGAACCATCAACACAATATTTGATATTGTACACCCACTTGCATCCAATTGGTTTTTAGTGAGCAGGATGAGGCACTGTATCATAGGTATGATTTTGTGCAAGTGTATTGAGTTCGTCAGCCATAGCTTGACGCCAATGAGATTGTTGGACAGCTTCAGAGTAATTGGAGGGTTCTCTGTCTATCTGACTTATACAAATCCTGTGGACAGAGAAAGACGGTCACAATTGACATAATTAGATGTAGGATAAAGGCTACCTGAAGGATCCGGAATTGTTGGACAAACATAATCTGCTGTCCATACAGGTGGTCGAGTAGGACAAGAGGATCGTCTCTGAGGAACTGGCTCTAGAGGCATATCAAAGGACCTTGTAGGAGATGTAGGTAAGGGTTCACGAGACTCAAAAGATTTTTTTGGAATTGTATCAGAATGAGGATTAGTAGTGATTGGTGAAGGACCGGAGTCTGTTGGTTGTGTACTGGTGTAAATGACAAGGAACATGATGAAATGAGGAGAGATTGATAAATCATCATCCAGAAAATTAGGCAAATGGATGTGTAGTAGTGGTTGTGCTATTTGGAAAAGTAGTACGAGGTTGTTTTGCAAGAGGACAAATAGGACACTGAGGTTGAAGAATTGAGGCACTGTGACCCAATCTTTGATGGAAAATAAAGGAATTTTTATTAATATTTGTATTACAATGAGAAGTTTTATTTGTAATACAAGAAGATGACGTTGAAATTCCTTAAAAAAATTATCAATTGTCCAATAGTACAAACCATGATGGACCTTGCCCAAGCCCTGTAAGGGTGGGATAATCCGATTAATCGAATCGGATTGGGTAAACCAAATTGGTTATTCGGTTCAAGCAAAAAGCTAAACTGAAACCGGGCCGGTTATATGCAAAAATCAAAGTTAAACCGAACCGAATATGCAATTCGGTTATCCGGTTAACTAGTTTTAAACCGGTTGTACAATTCAACCATAAATTCTTTATTTTTTACATTTAAGTCCCAAAATTCAAATATATATTATTATATATATAATTTAATGTTGTATTTTTTTTTTGGGTATTGTTGTTGTATTCTTTGTGTGAAA